CAATTGACCCAATGCTCCCGCTGACCCCGTTGTTTTATTTGAGCCATAATAACTCTGCTAATTAAAGCCGCTTCCTATTATATTTCCCTCCACTCGCCTGTAAAAGGCCCTGGTTTCAAAGTGCCAATAAACTAAACTGAAGGGGGCCCATTTCTTTATTTGTACGTGTGGGAGAAGGAGGCGGGGGAGAGGAGGGGGAAGAGCTGGAAGGATAGAGGTTTCAGGTTCGGGGAGTAAAAGAAACAAAGGTCAGTGGAGACAAAGGAGTGCGAGACCTCGGGGTCAAGCCGCCTGGTGTCCACAGTCACCGGCGTGGCGTTGTCGCAGGGCAAATGGCCCCGCTTGTATAATCGCCGGGGTATGTTTTGTCCACGAGCGAAGGATAGAATATATCACGGCGCTGCTGACAGACGAACAATAGATCACGTTTTGTGGAAGTCCGAGAGGAGCCTGCGCCAGCTCCCTTTGAGCTTGCTGGTACATCTGGAGGAGGCAGGATTAACCCCGCATTCGCCGGCCCGGCTCCACCCGTATGACCCAAGCTTCAGCCGCAACAACATCGCTTATGAGTTCATGGAAGACTCAAAGACGGCCGATGGATGTGGATTCTCATCCTACTGCAGGAGCGACGGATACAATCAATGTCATCGACAACTGACTGAATAGAAAGTCACCAGCGGCTCTTTGAGGCTCTACTTTAGCCTGGAAGTAAATACAAACATTCTAACGTGAGCGGCTGTAATGTTGACCTTGTTGAACTTTGAACACGCCACAATCTTCAAGCTGACATTTTGACCGTATATCCATTTTGTCGTTACGAAATGAACGTCATGCTGTATTGCTGAATTGAAGTGAAAGTAACAAGAAATTGATCATTTTCTTATGCACTTTAAACAATTAGACATATTTTTTCAATTAAACTTTAAGTTTAGTGTACGTTTTTATTTGCTTCCCTTTTCATAAATAGAGGTTGATGTCTGATTTCAATGTGTTAGCATGCTAACATCCGCTAATTGCCACTGAGCACATGGTGTTGCTGGTGGAAATGTTATTATCTTTGCAGATATTTGGTCAGACACCAGTCATTAGAACTCACCCTGAGGGAAACGTTGATGTTTCTGCCAAACTAACAGTTACAATGCACCTTAAAGCGACAAACGGTAGCCTCGCGTCGGCGCTAGCGAAGGCTTCACAAAAGACGACAGGATGTGCAGCAAATTGCACAAGAACCAATTCGATAGTTCGGACTGAAATGGTGGACCAGCAGAGAAACAGAGTCACGCCGCCATCATCTCTACAAATTGAGAAATAATAACAAAACACAAACATTTATGTATGTGACCTAAAACCGGGGATCAGCAGGTGCAAAGCGACACCACTGACCGCACGAGAAAAACCTGCTGCTAATCAATTCCTTTTTTTTTAAAATGACATTTGAAGCTCGGCTATAAATGTGCTCAATCTCTGTTAACTCTCCTCTCGGTTTTATGACGACAAACACGGCGGTGAGGAGGTTTATGAGTCTTTCTGCAGCGACTATAAAAGCAGCTATGTGAATGTCATGTGCTTCATGGGTCGGCTGCATGTTCCCGTGTGCTGGCTGTCACTCAAATACCACAAAATATTCAAATCACCGGTGTTTGAATAACTTACAACCTTTTCGACTGAAAACATCAGCACCGAGGGATGCCCGAGGGGCGAAGCAATAACACAATAAGGTGATACGGTAATAGCTTCAGGCTGTGCGCGAGATTTAAACACGATCATATAGGCTGTCGTACTCCAGGGGGTTAAGTGAATGTAATCCTCATAAGGAAGGAGGCAGGAAAAGTCATGTGTCAGGGTTCAGCCATGAGCAACTGCGAGCCCTGGGGAGGCCGGGGGAAGATTTTTTTGGAGAGGGGGGGGGGGGGGGGTGGATATTATAACAAGAGGAGGCTGTTTTAAAAAAACGTTGGATGCCAGTTGATAAGAGGTCAGAAGCAGTTTATGAGGCGAATCCCGCTCAAGGCGAACGGTAACTTGGCCAAAGTGCGCGAGCCGGGTCGCAGCTTGCACAAAAAAATGACGTGTGATTGACAGCGAGTGGGGGCGGGAGGGAGGGGGTGGAATGGTTCAAAGCTAGCGAGCGAGAGTGGGAAGATCACAGAGGTTGGAGGAAAAAGGTTGAGAGAGGGTACAGCGGGAAGCCAGAGAGAAGGTCTTATCTGTGACCCATCTGTCTTGACTTGCACACTCCTCTGGTTAGTGCCCTGAGGGGGGGGGGGGGGGGTAAAGGCGGGGGGGCGCGTGCGTGTCAGTGACTGAGTGTGCAGGGCTTAGGGCTAAGGCCTTGGCCTGTGCACTCTGGCCCGAAAACCAGCCTAACCAGCCCTACGCCTCGACGCCCCGGGGAAAAACTCTCATGACTTACTGCTGTGATCATGTGATCAACTCGCAGGAGGAACACACACAAAAAAAGAGCAAAACAGAAAAAGGGCTGTCACACATCACTGGAGACACAGATGTTACTTTCTTGGATAAGTCATTTCTTATCTTTGCGGTCAGCTGATTTGTCACAAACCTTAAACAGCAAATTTTTTTTTATAAGACATTTATTGAAAAAAACCCCACGTGTTTATTAAGGGGATTTCTAGAGTTGTAAACAGTCATTGTGTTATTGATCTTAAAACAAACACAATTAATCACAGACATGGAGAACTTTGCAGGCAGAAGGTGGCGTTCCTGTTTTGGACCCGACCGCTCGTTTTACTTCATTAGATGCCTGAAAGGTTAAGTGAGGAATTACAAACAGCTGTGTTTGCTCATACAGTCTTACACTTTGAACACCCTGAATGTCATTTTCAGATCACCTATTTCCACTGTTACGTGAGTCACGTCATTTTTTGACGAGTGTGTAAAAGAATTAAGTGAAAATGAAAAAAAAGTTGATCAAACAGTTGTAATTTCGGTCCAGTTGAAAATGTTACATACTATTTGAACCTTTTTCATTGCGTGTGGAAGCCTTTGAATGCCTCAACAATCTCCAATAGGTGCCAATCTGTATTTATAAAACTAAGCTTAAAATCACTAAAAGCGCACTGCACTCATTTGGGGGCCGTTTGTGAGGTTCCCACCCTCACTGTCCACAGCAAATATCCATCAGTCCAAGTTGTTTTGCGTCACATCCAACCTCCTAAGATGTTTAACTTCCCTTGCATGTACGGCACCTGGGAGATTTACCATAATGAATGCCTGATGTGGCGAAGCACTTAATTCCGCCTATAAAATAACTCCCTTCCTCCTTCCTGGGGGCCCCGGCTGTTGTTTATCAAACGAGGTAACGTCCTGTCATGTGACCCCCTCCTCCCTCCTAGAAACCCACCTGTGTGGACTTTTCTCTTAATCCCTCACCCGCCCCCCCCACCTCCCTTTTTCTTTTTCTTCGCTGTGCGCTTTGAATACTTAGACTACTGAGTGTAACTAATTCTCCCACACAAGGATATTGTCTTCATCCTATCTTTGCTTTTGTCCTTCCCTTTAAAGCCGGCTATTCACCGATTCCATTAGTTGGCGGTGCGGTGTGAGAGAGAGTAGGCTTAGAGGGGGTGGGGGGGTTCCCAATTAAAAGGCCTTAATAGTCTATTAGCATCACCTTAAACTCAACTCTTGTTTTTTTTTTTACACACAAAACCAGCTAAAGATTAATCACCAGACCAGCGTGGGAGCTTTTAACAGTCATTCTCTGATTGATTAACAATAATTAGGGCTGATGTTTTTGAAGAGGCGTTTATAACGGTTTGCTTCAAAAATGTTAACCATCTTTAATGGTTTTGCATTGAAGACAACAAAATTAGTGGTGGTTGTTCAAAGTGGGGGTTAAATTTAACATTTTAATGTGTTTAACAGGCGGCTCTTCCTACACACATGCTGCACAGATCCTGCAGCTGACCAGGCGGCCAGAGGATAAAGCCGGTCCCCTGGGAGGACCGAACCGGCCTTTCTCAGACACCCATTTGTCGTAGAAACGCAACCCACCTCCTCCCTCTCCCTCCCTCCCTCCCTCCCGACGGATGACCCTGCAACCAGCAGAGGTCAGCTGCGCAGAAGGAGACCCCCACCCCACTCCCTCCGCACCCATGCCTGGGGTCCGGGGTCCGGAGCCGCAGCGTAAATCAGAGGCTGCTCATCGCGGGAACCCTGCCCTGCCCGAGGTCTCAGCCCAGCCTGGCACCATCTGTCCCGGGACGCTGACGCAGAGGCAGCGCGGCCGAGGTGGGTTCCCACTGACCCGCTGCACCCTCCAGGCCACATGGGCCGGACGCAGATCCATCACGCTGCAGAGTGGACCTGCTGGAGAAACGGCTTGGTGCGCTGATCTACTGTCAGTTAACTCTGGACGAAGTTCTGTAAAGTCACTTTATTTGTACATTTCCATTTTATTCTAAATATATTTCAAAAAGGAAATATTACTCATATATATACATATAGCATATATATAATCTCACAGGAGGTAGTTACTTTTCAGATGGATATTTAAAATAAAGATTATTATTGTTAAATATTAAATAGAATACAGTTGTTTTGGTTTGCGACCCCTCTAGCAGGTAGTTGTATGCAGACGAACTTTATTAGATTCCCATCTATGTATCCTCTCTCATGTTGCGGCCCTTCAAAGGGCCCTGATCCCTAGATTTAGAACCACTGGACTAAAATACGTTGACAACAGTTAGACGCTGATTACACACATTGATGTCAGCTTTATAATAATTATATAATAGATCCCAGGAGCCCGTTGTCTTACTTTTCTTATTTTTTTGTACTTTTACGTACATTTTGAATGCAGAACCTTTGCTTGTTGTGGAGTATTTCTAGACAGTTTATTTACAATAATGTAGAAATACTCCCAACATTTTAAACCATTCATAAACATGCCATTGTATTATGGAAAACAACTTATCTACACAACAGCTCGTGGAAACAATTCAGTTTAGCGTTTTAACTAGGCGGCCACCCTACTATTAAAAATACCCCTATTTATTACACTTTGCACAACATTTCACAACACAAGGTGGAAAGAATACTGTATTATCATATAGACGTTACCTTAGTAGTGCCTCTGAAGTACAGAAGCAGCCTTTTGGAAGACAGGGTACGGAAAGCGTGAAAGGGCCAATTAGACGTTTTATTCAAGTCCCACTGGTCATTTCAGCCGTTCTAAAATACACTCGAGTGGACTTTACTCCCAGTCACGCCTTAATCGCCCAGCTGGAGGCAAACAGATGCTTTTTTTTTTTATGCCTAAAGTAGTACGTAACAATGTGCTAGAAAAAGTGCATGCAAAGAAAGTTAATTAGAGCACTTGCAATTCCACCTCTGGCCCAAACAAGTCACCAAACGCTGACCTGCACGACCCTGTTATTTCGCCGTATAACTGCCACGGACTAAGAATGTGATGTACTACTCACGCATGTAAAACAGTCCAACCTTTTAAGTGCGAGACAAGTCTCTGCACTCCACCTCTTCACCCTTTGACGACTTGACGTCTTTCCACTCTCCATCATAACCGCACCTGGAACAGTGACACGTAAATCTCAGCGGCAGAGACAGTCTGCAGGTCCCGGGGCAGTGCAGCCCCAGCTTATTGCTTTCTCCCACCGCCCCGACCTTGCTTCTTGCCCCCTTAGGCCCCCCCGGCTGTAATGGACCAGCAGGGGTCATAAACTGGTTGTGTTTCTGTTTTCCTCTTTCCAAATCCAGCGACACCAGTTGTTCACCCTCCTCAGCGAGGCCTTTTGTGAGGCCTGACAGGCTGTCAACTCCGGGCGGAGGACGGTCGCGGAGGACGAGGTGCGTTGCCTTGAGGTCACGCCGCATTCCGTCCGCCGGAGGCCCGTCTTTATCGGCTCGTAACAACTTTGAATAGCTTTTGCCGCAGAGCATTCAAAGTCGGCTTTGGCTCCGTGGTGTGCGCTTGGTGCCGTCTGTTTCAAATCTGGACATGTTTTGTGGAAAAGAAGAAATCTGGAGCAGATCGATTTTGTAGAGGAATGATAATTTGGGGGTAAAGCGTCGCCGTTTGTGAAGATTCCCACCAACAATTTTCGTTGACTCACAGGGTTTGAGGAGAGGACGAGAAGACCTTCACAGTGACACGAAGAACCTCGAGACAAAAACAAACGCCCACCCACACACGCATGTAGTACGGAGTGTCATTCTGAGAGCAAATAATGTATAGTAATAATAATAATAATGCTTCCATAAATTATATTTCTGCAACTGATTAAATGTGGGGGGTTTTCCTGGTGTCCTTTATTAGCTCAAATCAAAAACATTTAATATTGGCTTTATATTTGAAATGTATTGGCTGGTTCTCACATTAGTCCTCGTATTAATTTATCTGAGGATTGTGTTTGTATAAAGATACAAGAATAAAATTGGATTTACAATTGATTTTGAGGGTGAATAACGGCGACATCTTGTACTCATCGGCCGATTCACCCAATTCAGTTAACTTTGTATTTGTTCATACTGCCATCGTGTGTTGGGCCGGTTGTACTGACAGTCTCCCAACTTCATCATGGCAATTAGTTTAAGCGACGGCCCCTGTGCAACGTCATAAAAACAGGGGAAACAACTTGCTGAAATAATATCTCACTAGATCACTTTCATTCATTTAGAATTGCATTTATTTGTTTACAATGTAATCAAGATGGTTGAGATGGGTGAGGGTGAGGTGTTGAGATGGTTTTGGTACAACTGTTTTTTTTAAATCTATGGTGTATCTTAAAGACTTTAAGTGATTATAGGAGGAATGAATTGACCGAGTTAAAAATCCCCAAACAAAAATGTATCACATTACAGACTTCATCTGATTGTTTTTAAATTAAATGCATTGAAGGCTTATTTCTTTGCAATTATGGCACTTTTTTGTAACCTTATTATTTTTGCTTTGAGCATAACAAATAATGCTGTTGTATTAAATCTTGAAGACGGTCTACCATGACAACGGCCATAGTGAACATAAAGCTGAAGGACACTTTAGAAGACAATCCTGAAAGCAGGAAATAATTAGCATTCAATAACTATTTTAGGATACATATTGGCATGCAAGGATGGTACTTTAACGGACTGGAAACCCAACTTTTAATTAAGGTGTGGGGCCTCACTGTTTCAGTTAGATACGGTTCACATGTCCAAATAGATTATGTTAATTACTGGTTTAGTAAATAGCTGAATACCAACTCACAGTTTCTATGTTTCCAACTTCATTTGCAAAGAATTCCATTTTAATCAATTCATCCCTGGTTGTTATTATATAAACGTTCAATCGTGATTTCAATCAACCTTCTTCACAGTGCAGTCTCAAAAGCGTCATAGTCCACAACCAGTCACTCCCGCCCGGCCTTCAGTTTCTCCTCCACCGTGTGATCCCCCCTTGAGCCCCCCATGCAAGGCGGACTCTGAGCCACCGAGGGGTTACGTCCCCACTGCTCAGGAGTCTTTGCCTGGATGGCCAGGGCATGAACGCAGCTACTCAACTCCTCTTTCAACGCCTCATTAACCAAACGGTGGCGCTGTATCAGAGGCAGACCCTCAAACTGCGAGCTGACGACCAGTACACGGAAATGGGACTCGGAGCCGGGGGGCACGGCGTGCATGTGGCTTTCGTTGTGGACCTCCAAGTGGTCCGGCTTGAGTTTTTCAGTCAGCTTGGCGGTTATAGTCCTCTGGACGGGCCGACCCTGGTCTGGATCCATGCGTGGGGTGACGTGGGCCAGAGGCCGGCTTAAGGGAAGACGGGTAGAGACGGGCCGGACGCAGCGGAGCACAGCAGGAAGCATCAGACTGTGGCAGGAGACCACCTACGAAAGCCAGATGGGGATGAAAACCGGTGACATGCCATTTAAATGACTGGAAAGACATTCATGTCACTCTTAAGAAGAACGCAGGACCCGTAAGTCACATCAGCCTGCTGCTCGGTGTTAAAACACACCGCTCGGCTCCTCGTTATTTGGCATTTCTTCAACTGCCAGCCGCAGATTGGTGGAACTAATGTTAATGCGATGAAGGGGGTCAGCGTATGAAAACACGCGGTGTCAGTTTAACTGCAACACAACTAAGTTGACGCGGACACAGACCACCTTTTATTAACCAAGACCTCAGCAACAAGTGAGACAACGTCCAAAACGGTGTGGCGTAAAATAAAAGGCTTTAAATCGGTGTCACCGTAAAGCGTCTGAGATTAAGCGAACGCATCGCAACAAACGACTGACGCTACTAGCTGACTTTAGCTTAGCTTTTCTTATCTAACGTTACTCCAGCGAAGGAACATGTAAATCCAGCTAACGTCACACGCAAGTGCAACAGCGGCGTGTAAGTTGTGGCACGACTTTGTATACCGGCAATGTGCGTTGAGCTGATTGTTCGGTGGCTAACCTTTCGAGCTAAACCTAAGCGAATGTTTGCTAGCATTAGCCGTTAGCTGCTTAGCGCAGTAAACACCCGATTTGCAAGAAAAGTTAGATTTTAGTGGAGACTGTAACTCACTCTGTTTTTATAAATGCACTGAACCAAGTCACGAAGTAAACGTGTAGAGTGGATTTTGTAAACTACTCACCTTGAGAGCGAGTGAGTTCCGTGCGTACGGGACGATAACCGGAAACTATGACAAGCACGCTGGGTTGTGTAGTTTTCAGTGTTTTGTAGTCCTGTAGCAGCATCGCTGACAGCAGAATGAATGAAGAATGAGCACTGAGTGCAAGCCGACACTATTGTCAATAAATAAGGAAGGATCCTGCAGAAATCAACTGTAAATTAGCTGAGTGCACTGTGTGTACATACGGGCGCGATCCTGTGAATTTCCCCATTGTGGGAATAATAAAGTAATATCTTTGTCTTATCTTATTAGGTTCTTTGGTTAATTAAGGCATTATCTTGAAATGCATTGAGGAAACAGTGCAGGCGTATTGCAGGTTGAGGAAGCAGCAGCTGCACCATCAGGGCTTCAGGTGAAGTCTTACTCATGGGTTTTCGTATGTGGTGGGAGGCCGGGGGGCGGGGGGGTAGTGTGTCCCTACCAATGCTGAGACCAAACCTACGCCCTTGATTGAACATTATACGATCCTTTTTATTAAATTCCTGAAACCCCAAGAAGCAGCGCTGCGGCTTAAAAGTGATGAAAATGCTTTCTAAAAACTGGCTCGTACACAATGTTTCTTTTCAATGCTTTTTTATTGAATTGAATCTTTTTTCCATCTTTTTTTATAGAACGGCCCCTGAGGATCACAGGAGGGGGGGCACTGTGAATCTCAAGGGGGTGCAGGCTCGCTGGGGATCATCGGGGGAGCCCTGGTCGTTCGACGAACAACCCCAATTCGGTCTCCTGGTTTAGCAAACCATGGTCGCATCGAGTCTCTCGCGATACTGGTCCGTAGTGCCTCCCTTACTTGGGAAGACGGTTCCCGGCTAGAAGTGCTGCTGCCATCCTCACGCAGCATTCTGCAGTTTGTGGTTCTGAAGTTTCTATGAGGAGGCAGTCCGGGGGGACGTCCACGTGGTTCAGGGCGTACCTCTTGGTTTTGTCTGGGTAAGCTTGGTTCATCATATCCCAGACCAGACATAACAAAACCAGCCACTGTTTTGCCGACCCAATGAAGCATTAACCAGCCCAAATGCAGCATGTTTCCTGGAGAAGGTTAATATTATCAGATTTTCAGATCTTTTGAAGTTTCATAGATGTGCGACCGACAACTGTGAGGCCCTTTGTAAGAATGATAGTTATTGAAAGGTATAGAGATCTAAGCAATTCCATACACACAGAAAAAAAGGTTCTTGGATGGTTCTTTAGAAGGCATCAAGGTTCTACAAAGAACCATCACCTTCTTAAGAATCATTCTATCTATTAGATGGTTCTACATGTTTTGCATATGGTTCTATGGGATATTAAAGGGTTCCTAACTCATGTTTGAGTTTGTGAATGGTGAGGGACGGGGGAAAAAAACACCTCCGTGCCATAATCTGTGTTAGCTAGTTAGCTGCCAGTTGACACACACACACACACACACACACACATATATACATTGAAGCTTACTTCCAAGTGACAGTTGTCCATCTCGACTGACCAACGTCTTTTCAAACCAGTAACCCCCAACTAACAGCGGTCGGTTTAAGTGCTGGGAGATATTGGTTATTACAAGAAAGTATTGCTCTTATTTAGTCACGTCACAGTCTTCCTATCCGAGTGTCTGAATAAGCTCACATGATTAAACCTACAATATTGGTGCCTGTAGCGGAAGCAGCATATTTCCCTAATTGTGTGGATGCAGCATATTACAACGTTAAAGTATAAGGTCAGGGTAATTTTAGACTTTTAGTTTTAACAAACATCTGGTTTTTTAAACTGTTAATTTTGGTTGTTATTTTGTTGTCTATTAGATAAATGCCAGGTAAGTGTTTAGGTAACTATTGATGAATCTACTTGTACATGTAGTGGATTCCTTTTCTAACTAGGTTAATCTATTTCTTGGTCCAATGTAACCCTAGTTCATGTCTTTCATATTAGTTTACAGTCACTGAGGTATCCATGTTATTTATTCTCTGTACAGTAACTGTACTGTAACTATAGAAGATATGTTGACAGCATTGATGGTCATTTTGGCTATACCAGCGTACGGCTAATTCACCTGCGTTAGCATCCTTTTACAAGCTGTGGTTAAGAACGTTTAGTTTTATAATTAAAACAGTATTTGGCTCTAAAGGTAAGGAGCTTACGCTTACTTTAACATTAGGCAATCATTTTTATCAATATTTTTACCGGATAGTTAGCTAAAAACTGTCTGGGTCAGGAGACAGTCACGTTAGCTAACAGCGTGCTAAACTGACCCGGTCACGCTCTCCAGTATCTACAACTCCAACACAGACTTGATCGAAGGCTGAACAGCAACCTAGAACATTAATTAAACATGTAATCTATCCCAATAACTCCCGTCCACGTATGTAATTTCCTCAGGTGAAACTCCGTCGTCCTTGTTAAGATTCTACCATTCTGTTGAAGAAAAGACCAGGAATTGTCCTCTGACGTTATAATAGATTAATCTCTTTAAAGTGCAATGTGATCGCTTTAAACATTCCTCACAGCGTATCTAAATCACCCATTAAAGTCACTTTTACGCCAAAAAGTCTTATTCTGCCGCGGCAAAAAGATGAATGTGTGGTGTCTGAAAACGCTTTAGAATATTCAAAGGCGTAGGACATGTTGAAACAACAAAGGTTGAGTTTTCTTCCTTTTTGTTTATTTCATGGTTCTTTGTTATCCATTGTGATGCCAAGGGGATCAGTTGCACAGCAAAGTGCAAACCCAACCAAAAATCAACAATGAGAAAATATAAGAACAAAATCTCACACACCTTTTAACAGAACTGATGTCGTCACATTTAGGCTAACTATGATTCATAACCAGTATTTAACATTGATGTATTTACTTATATTTCATTCTCATTTACAAAATACACAAAATCAAAGACAACATACAGCATTGTTCATTTACACTTTTTCTTTTTTTTTTTACACCTTTTTTTTATATTCATGGTTCCATAAACAGTTGCTATACTTACAAACAATCAGCTACAGTTTCTACAGCACAGTACAATGACAAAGGTGATAAATTCTTTGTTACACTTATTAAACTGCAACGCAATCTTATTGACAAAAGCCTCAAGACTTGGGGTTGTTTTAGAGAGTACACACAGATGTTTGTTAGTGTCCTGTGTCATCATCAAGCCAACACACAGCATTTCAGTAGACAAGGCCAGTATGTAGTAATGTCCTCCAATTCCCAATAGCTTCAAAGAAGAGAATAGGAGACACACACCCAAACGCTTATTGCTTTGTTAAACCTTTTGCACTTACGATTGGCCGCTTCTCAGGCAACGAGATAATTATATAAAAAGAACCCTGTAAAATAAGCTAAGATATGTATCTAAGAGAGAGGATTTGAACTTGGACGGAGCCTAAACCGAGTCACTGGGACGGGTTGGCGCTTTAACAGCACTCCATGTTGAACAAGTGCAACGTTGTTCTTAAATTTCATGGGTGACACAGGACAACATACGACGCGCAGCTTCTACATGTGCATTTATATACTATCAATGTGCTCTTGAGAGGGAATCTGGGCAAATGTTGTTCCCTGACCTGCTGGTCATTCGGGCATCATTTCCTGCAGTTGTAAAACGAGAGAAAACTCCTTGACTCGTGTGCGAAGTCTGCATCGCCATAACTGAGTCAGTCCACTTGTGCTTGTTTTACATGATCAGTGGCTGAAGACCTACAAACACTGATAACACAAATATATTTCCAGGGGGTCAAAAGATCTTTTTAGTTACATCATAAGTACTTTTATTTACATATATTCATATCTATAACAGAGGGTCGATGGTGTAATGTGTAAACTCAGGCCATACAAAATATTTGGCAATAATTAAGAAGAGGCGGTACTCACGGCGCACAAAGATAATGGGTCGGACGTCAAATTTGGAGCTAGATCAGTGTGAGGCCGGGGGCGGGTCTTCAAAGCGATTTATATTCACAACTACGCTCGTGTTCACGATCCTGTCACTCGGCGGTCTTTGTGCTCTCGCTAAAAGCCCACCTTGTTCTCCGTGAAATCCCTCGCCAGGCTGCATCCGCTTGCGTCTTGAAGGACTCAAGGCCATCACGATTGTGCATGTACGACGGTGTACACATAGTGCAATGCGTCGTCTATTTAGTAAGCTGTCTACGTATGGCTGCTATCCTACAAAATGGCAGTTTGGGCAAAAACGTTTTTGTTAATCTTACATGTAAATGAGTGTACATGGGGGTGGGGTGGGGTGACGGTAATTTTCTCCGTGCTGGTACCAATGTGGGATGCATGACAAGCAGCCCTTAGCAGTAGGTTCTCTACGGTGGATCTTGTGTTATAGCTACAATAAAGCACACGTATTCACAATTCTCCACAATGCACTCTTAATGCAGTCATCCTTTAACATTGCCAATCAATTCTCACTGTTAACATGTTTGGTGTCCCCATGGACATTACAAATTAGGAGTATTTAAAATGGAAACGCTTTACTTTGGGAGCAGTATTTTCCAAGAATTTCTATGTTGAGCCTACTGATGCTAAAATATAACTTATCAGCCGGTCATCGTCCAAGAGCAGAAAAACAGTACAAGTCCTGTACGATACGTCACACCATGTTCAGTTATCAATAACAGACATCTACCCCACAAACGTTCACAAATCAAAATAGTGCTTGCCAAATATGAAATGGTAAAAGACATTAAAAAATGAATTAAAATCCCAATATTGCACAGAGGTTCAATATTGCACTAAGAAGCACACTCACATCGATATAAACATTCAGCTCACACAAACAATTAGGTTGCAGTTTCACCTCTCATACGCCTGCACTGAAGCCTTTCTGTATCTTTGTGTGTGTATGATTTAAGGAATTAAAGGGACACTTTGTCTCCGTGGAGTGTGCTACAGGGACAGTTGGGTCAAACGCATCAGATGTCATGCTGTCCCTGCCAACAGCAGAACAAATGCACTGTGCTGTCTTTTGTGGGCAGGAAGAAGCAAAGATCTTTTGGGGACTTGAGCCGGACTAACGGATCAACGAACTTCACCTTAACGCTGTTTACGTGGTGTACTCTCAGGTTTCATAAATGTACATACATACTGTGTGACATGCATAACACCCTCCAAAACACACATCATTAGAGACAAACAAACCGCACGCCTGGGAGGAGAGGTACTAAGAAGGCATTTCTTACAAAGGGATATAGAGGAGGGTTGAAAAACGGTGATTGGGTGTGAGATTCTGAACATTTTCATCAAGTCAAGAAAATGTTCACACCGGCACTGGTTGTGCTTTAAATGCAACCGCTTCGTCTTGGTGAGGTGAAGTGGTGATTGTGACGGCACACGTTTTCCACCTGGCCTGAGGGGGAACGTGTCCTTTAACTAGTTTGAGTGACCGCGATGCTGTTTGGAGGTGATCGGGGCGAATGCTCTAAAGGGAGACGGGGCACTCTTTAACAATAGCAAAAGCAAACCTGGAATGTTCTATCATCTATAAAATGGCAGTTAGTCTGAACACAAGACCTCAGGACATAAAGAATGAGGACAGGTCTTTGCCAAGAGTTGTGTCTTGGTTTTCACCCTGTAAAAGTCAAAATTGCTTCAGATCAAGGCATAAAATGGGGCATGTGGGGATTCTATGTCCAACGATGGCAAAGTACTGAAGACTTGATGGTGAGTTGAATTTGCTCAGACGAATGGAGGTGACAGGAACAAGGGCTAGTGGTTATTTCTATGAGTCTATTTGCTCATTATCAAGAACCCCCGTCCCCTGACCTCCAACCCCAGATTCATATACTTATATATTACTATTCCATTCAAGGGGGATAATATGTCATGCTTTTACTCCACATGTTATTATCATTTTTGTTACTCTTTTTACTTTTGTCACAGCTCAACCCTTTAACCAGGTCGTTCTAATAACTGCCAATTTTTAAATATTTACAGCACATCTGCGTCGCCCTTCGGCGTCTGCTCTATCTTTCAGAGGGAGGGGTCGGAGGAGGAGGAGGGCTCTCGAGCTGTTTGTTCACAGTGCGGTGAAAACTCTTCAGGACCCACCTGCCCCACCCTCCCACTCTGCCCCCCCCCCCCCTCCGACTCTGGGAAGTTGTTGGAGCCCCACTATTTCAGCACCTGACCTCGCGTCTCAGGTAGTTTGAGGGCCAGAAAGCTGCCGGCCGCCAGCGCCCCCGAGGCGAAGAGGATGGGCACGGCCTTGGTGATGCCGACGAAGGAGGTGAAGATGCTTATGCCTAAAACGGCGGCTAGTTTACAGAGGGCGTTGAGGAAGCCAAACGCTGTGGTTCTGAGAAAAGAGAGTAAAGAGTCAGGTCAGTCTTGGAATAATCAACCAAAGTGGACTCATAGAGCGACACACATTTTCTTGCGCTGTAGGCCCTTTATGCATCCACTAGATGGAGATACATCTCCTTTTGCTAATATGCTCAAATTGTTTTGCGCAAATGCTCATATCTTATTTCGGGTTTGGCGGGCGACCCCCACGACCTCACCTGATACGTACCGCCAGGGCGTCATGCTTACCTCTTGTCAGAGGGGTAGAGCTCGACGGTCAGCACGTCCAGAGCGTTCCAGGAAGCGATGCTGATTCCCCCGAACAGGCAGAGCAGAGCAATCATGGCCGACTCGCTGTTGCCGAAGGACAGGAAGAAACAGCTGACGCAAGAGATGACACTGGAGCCCGCTGGAGGTGGACAAAGGGAGAAAAAGACACGAGGAAGGACAGAGTGACGTATGAAGACGGGAGGGAAATCTTTCCAGAAATCAACTGAAAATGAGCTGAGTTTGTTCTTTCTAAATGTGCATTTGATAATAAGTAATAGAAGACCAGAAAAGCATAATGAACATGGTCATATCAGTGGTCCGTCTATCATTCAGCAAGACAAACAGTACTAGCACTAGGTTTGCCATTGCTCCAGGACCCAGGTTACCATCCTCAAGTCTCACTGGACGGCTGCCATGCATCAAACCACTTGCCGAGCGGTGTGGGGCGCTGCGCTCACAGTACCTAGCATCCTCAGACGTCCAATCTTGTCCATGAGCAGCGCGGAGACAATGTTGCCGGGCAACACGGCCAAGGTGCCCAGGAAACTGACGAAGTAGACCATGTAGGCGTTGTTCTCGTCACTGACGTCACTGAGCAGGCAGCCTTCTTTGTTGTGCAGGAAAGTGCTGTTGATGAGTTTGCTGTTGACCAACCTGTACTTGAAGAGATCTGGGGAGAACGGGGGAGAGAGGGGGGTGCGGAGGATGAACGCGAAGGAGAAGAAGCAGTTGACTGGTAAATATCACTCAATATAAACTCACGATGGACCTAAACCCCCAAAATACACATTACGGCACCGCTGTTTGTGCCAGATGTGCAGTCGAGCAAGGGCCATATTTGCTGTATACGACACTCTGAAGGAGCTTTGAGGTTGGGTGTTTACAGCAGCTGTTTTAATATGCGTCAACTGGACTGAGAGGCCAACAGAATAAACATCACAAAGACGCCTCTGGAAGCCTTTGAGGTGGATGTTTAATTGGATTAGATTTGATCTTTTTCAGAAGAATCTGGTGCAACAGCATCAAAAAGTACATCCTGCATCCTTATCTGTATTGAGATCGAACCAACGAGTATATCCATCTACAGAGTCATTCATCAAGTCTTCTAGTGAGTCCACCTTCTTTTTTTCTGGAATAAATGTGTAAGCTCCTTTTTAGGTCATTTTTACCCTTAAGCTCTTTTCTAATATAGCTACTAACTGAATGTACAGCTTCACTGGACGTACAGCAACTGTGCCATTTCAAAGCACTAACTTGTAATCTTTTTTTATTGCCATTCTTTTGTCATTTCCTGCAAGTATTTCCAAACACTGCAAGAGGAAATACAAACGGCCCCATTTAGATTTCTTTATGTCGCAGAGTTTAAAAAAGTCTACAGTGTACATTTGCCTTTAGCACTTTGTTCCCATCATGCAGCCATGTGACAATAAAGGTATAACAAAGCCAGCGGAGGGCCAGGCTGAAGTAGCAATTCCATGTGAGCATTTGTGTGTTTGGATGCAGCTATTGAACAGACATGCGACAGTGACCATTTTTTCTAAAAATGCTCAAAGACACGGCTCAGATCCTCCTTCTGCCTCTGACATCGTGTGTTCATCGTTCCATCGTTTGGTTTGAGAAGAGAGACCGCTCGACAATTTTTAAAGCTGAAATAATGCAGATTTGAGGCTCGGTTGCTAGGAGACGTTGCGTTCCTGCCTTGCATCATTTGGTATAGCGCCAGTCGGCCAGCGCAGGCGGAGAAAAGATAGATTAAGCGCCATTTAGGAGCTGATTGTGCTTATCTTTTACATATCAGAAGCAAAGAAGGAAAATACAGCATCCACTAAAACTAAATATTAGATTAGTTTATTGCTAATGAAATGGTACCGGTCTCAATAGAACGGATGAGAGCGTCTTCCATCCGTCACGATGCTCACGACAATCGCCTCACACAATCCCTCACAAGAGTGAGACTGTGGTGATATCTCTACTTACGAGGAGACTTTAAATAGCCCAGAGGGAAGACAAGATCACACTGACAGTCTATGAGCAGAGTTCTAGTGGAGGTCCAGTGCACAGCACAAATAACAACCAAACAGCCAAACTTGTGGATTGAAGACACCCCAGATTTATTTTGATTAAATGAATTACACTATGTTTTGTGCTCAAGTCTATTTTGTTTTACTTGTTTGCAAGTAAAGATTTCCTTTGAGGACAAATATGTTGCAGGTTTGCAGCCTTTCTCTACGAGCTTTGTTGTAATAATGACACGGGTCTTATCATCAGCATTTTTTAATGCATTTTTCAAGACATGATGGACATGGCGATTATATTTGGGTCCTGCTTATGATCCTGCTGTGTTGGCTGAAGGAATGAGACTGACGCGAGGTCATAGTTCTCAACCTTTTCATCAACCATTGTGCTGCATTAGTTTGCGCGTGTCCTACCGGTGTTGTAGAAGAGGGTGGCGATGAAGGTGCAGTTCTTGAAGAAGGTGTTGCTGGAGGTGATGTCTTCAAAGTAACACTCCTCAAACAGCGAGTCCTCAAACACCATGGATCTCATTTTCAGGTTCATAAACCTGTAAGCAAGGGATTGTGTGTTCAGCACATGGAGGCAAAGAGGCCGTGAATAAATGAGGGGGGGGGGACAGATGAAATCGAGGGGTTCAGTTTGAATTTCGTCGACTCAGAGCTCATGTTGAAGCGGCAAGGTCAAAGGAAACATACTCCAGCTTGTTAAACATAAACCAGTCTGCATGGTCTTCATCCGATCAAAGCATTACTTAGAATGAAACATATTTCTGAAGCCACAATGGGGGGTGTCGGGGGGGGGGGGCTGACTCACTTGTCGTTGAAGTACTCTCCCTGCCGGTGGACCTGGTTCTCCAGGGTGAAGTTAAAGGTGACGTGTTCGACTTTCTCCTTGGCAAAAAACTTGGTGCGCGAAGCGTACTCCTGCTTCTGCAGGTACTTGATCATGTCGGGGAACCAGACCGTCAGACCGTAGTAGCTGCACGAGGAGAGAGACGCAGGAGGGAAAGAGGGAAAGAGAGTGCTGCCGTCACAGAGAAGACAAGCCCGCGGTGAAATGAAACGCTCCCTTTGCAGTCAGATGACAAGACGGCAAGCAGACGAACGAAAGCAGCACAATGCTGCGAAGGGCGACGCCAGATGAGCGTCTCAATGATACTAATGCAACACTTGCAGTGGTACACTCTAAATCGCATCTCACCTGAAGGACATGGAGAACCACACGGCCATCATCATGTAGGTGGTGCGGCGGTATTCGGGGGAGAAAACAGCTTGGAAATTATGCCACACCTGAAGGAACACACACGGACAGAGAGAAAAGACCGAAACAAATAAGAAATGCATCGTTCGATCAAATTCCATATACAACTTCTTTCTATCGGCTGTGAGAAATAAATAAACGTCCGTGAATCCGTCTCTATGACAAACATTATATATATATATATATATAGATATACACACACAAAAATATATATATACACAGTATATATATATATTTTTTATTTCATTTGAATTTAAATCTGTTCATGACGATCCAATGGTTCCATTTTTTCCCTCACAGTGTTTGATGGACAGTTGAAGCCACACTGACTATGAACCCCGTCTTAAAAGGGATGGCTCAACATTTTGGGCCACGTGCTCATTCACTCTCGCCAAAGAGCATTGAGCAGATTGTCACTCTGCCAAAGATGGAGCCAGGAGGCCCATTCAGGCAAGACAACATACATGTTGTCGTAGAAGAAACTGAACCAAAATGAAAAGCAGTAAAAGCAATAAAAAAAACCTTCACCTGATGGAAAAGTGTAGTGAGCTTGATCTTCCACTTCTGATGCCAGGCGGCGCCGTCGCCCAGGGTCACGAGGTCATCCATCTGCTTCACTGTTTTGATGGTGGTCACCTTGAAACAACGCCACAATCAGTGGATTTCACTGTTGCATTTAAATAGATGGACATAAGATGTGTCTAGTATTGATAGTTAACAGTTGTTAATGTAGTAAGAACAGGTCACCTCATCCCATTTACGTATTAATATGTACTGTGAACCTTGAAGCCGTAAGGGATTACAGTAGAATAGAGAAAGTCTGTCCTAACGCAATTAACATGCTAATGTATGCAGCACAGAGCCGTCAACCAGCTGCACTGCAGACAGACGCACTGTGTGAAGACACACTGCAGACACACAAAGGATAGTGTGACTTACAGAGAAGACCCTCTCTGGGTAGCCCTTGGCCCTCATGTTGGTGTCATGGACCTGCTTCAGAATCATCCACGCCTCGTCATGCTTTCCGTTCTGGAGGAGAGGAACAAAAGCAGATTGTTAGACAGTGCTCATGTTGTACGGAAGTGACCTTTGGGAGGGTTGAAGCTCCTCATATCCAATATTTTAACATCTCATTACGGTTTGCTGTGGTTAATGAAACCGCGTTACACGTGTAACACGTGTAACACTGTAACAGTTACATGTATGTACGGTAATCATTTTTGAACGCAACAATCATCAGCATACTGGACGTCCAAATGCTACAAAAATACACCAAAATGCTAAAAACTGTCAATCATCTTAAATATCTTGTGCTTTTTGGGTCACTCTGTAAATATTCAAGATACACTGAAAAAGCAATAAAAGTACCTTACAGCACCTCACTGTTTAGCATGCTTCGGTATCTATATATGCACATATTTATTTATTTATTTATTGATAATATTCCACAAAAGCGTGTACGCAGCACTTTGTCTCCAGCTCCAAGCGCACAACTCCTTTTCCCCTTAAGGTCAACATTTATTTAAATGATATTTATAGTATATATATAGTCAGTATATTTCCACTGAGGGCGGCGAGCGCTGGCCGGCTCACCTCCAGGTAGAAGCGAGGGCTCTCCGGCATGGTGGTGAGGGCGGAGATGGCCGCCACAGAGGGTAAAGCACACACCAACACAAAGACACGCCAGCTGTGGAATTGGTAGGCCGAGCCCATCTGGAAACTCCAGCCTGAACGAGGGGGGGAGAGAGGGGGAGAGAGGGGGAGAGAGAGAGAGAGAGAGAGTGAGCGGGGGAGGGGAGAGAGAGAGGAAGTCTTGATTTATGTGAACAAGAAGCTCCCTCCGTTGACACTGTACTGTTCTGGCTGTGGGCATTTATTTAAACTCTTTTAATAGAAACTCAAAATAATGAAAATGACTGTGGTGGAAAGTATTTTACAAATGCAAACCATGATATCTCATCATCTCAGTAGTGATGTTTAGCTAAGTGACACATGAACTAACAGGCGTTCACTATCCACATGGCCTTGTGTGACCGGTTTGTGCTTCGCACCGTAGTGAGGGATGATGGCCCAGGCCATGGCGGAGGCGTAGATACCACCGATCATCCAGAACATGCAGAGCCAGCTGAGATGCTCTCCTCGCTTCTCCTGGGCCAGGAACTCAGAGTAATAGGAAAACACGATGGGGATGGAGCCGCCGATGCTGTGGAGCAAAGAGGGAGGAATTGAAAAAGGGACAGACGATTAAAGGACGAGCGGGAGATGGATCAGTGAGAAGAGCCGAGCGAAAACAGAAGCACGATGAAAACGGCCATTTAAAAAAAGGCAGCAAGGAAATTAGGTAATACTGCAAGAAAGAAAAAAAGAGAACAACGGAAGGGAGCCACTGACAGAAGCAAGAAAGACATGATGAATTTGGGGGAAAACACCAGCGCCAGAAATTGCCTTGAGAGACTCCGACGCAAGGAAGCAAATAATGAATCCTTTCTGATAAGGCTTGTGCCACTCGAGTGTGTCGAGATGCACCACAGCTGGTCTCCGTCGGCCCCTCTTACCCCACGCCGGAGGCCAGGCGGCAGAAGAGGAAGGAGACGTAGCCCTGGACGAAGGACGAGAAGAAGGCGAACACGCTGTTGATGGAGAGGGAGATGAGGAGGGTCTGACGTCGGCCGATCCGGTCGGCCAGGCCGCCCCACACGAAGGCCCCGACCATCATCCCCAGGTACACGATCAGGCCTGGAGGCAGGAGGGGGAGGGATACAAAGCAACGGAAGAGTTAGTGGATAAGAGAGTAACGGCAGGGCAGCGTGATGGGGAGCGATAACAGATCATAATGAGTTAATGAGTTATTATTAATCAGTGATTATTAGTAATAGTATTACGTCCCCTCTCATTAGATTTCCACTGCCCAGTAAATGAGCTCCTTTGGCAGCCTTATTGGACTGTTCAAGCAAACAGAGAGAGCGCCAATGAACCACCAGAGCATAGGCGGTGGGTGTCAAGATTATAATTACAATAATATTAATATTTCCTGTATAGCACTTGTTGAACTGAACCTTTATGCAGCGAGCGTCCAGACGCTCATAAACCTCAGAAACAGTGAACCAACTTGTTGTTTTCTCCCTTCGGTTTGTCTACAGATTAAACCAACACAATGTAAAGTGTTATTAAGAGACATTTAGAGGCGCTGGTAAGGGTGTCATTATATATGCCAACCTAATAGGGGTGTAACGATTCATCCACTGAATCGATTAATCAATTTATATTTCTGCGATCCAACTGAATCGATCTGTGCTCCGCAAATCGGCATTCCGGACGACATATCGATTACAAATCGATTGAAATGGTACATAATCGATTTGTATCGATACTTGGAAACTGCACATTGGATTTAAGCACAACAACTGTATGGATGTGTGTCTGTTTGTTTGTTTTTTAGCACTTTAGACACGTTACTCGATTCAGTCTGCCTGTCTGTGACGTCATCAGTACAAAACTCTGAACAACAAGAAAACACAGCGTGGAGGAGACGACTGCGAGCGAGACATTTACAAACCAACTTATCGATCCAGCGCGTGGAAACATTTTGGCTTTTGCAAACACGGAGGTGTTCTAAATAAGTCGGTCACTGTTTGTAGAAAATGTAGAAGCCAAATAAAAAAACACGGAAACACGACGAATCTTTCCGGCCATCTACTAAGGCGCCGTGGGATTAAACAACGCCGACAGTCAGGACCTCCAGCAGCGTCACCGCTGCAGCAGCAGCAGGTAACTCCAGCTCTGCAGACGCCTCAGGCCTCGCCAGCACCAAACTCAGCATCACAGTAACAACTACCAAGTTTTTAGCTGTAAAGACGTGATACCCTACAATTACAATACTACAATGTGGTTGCAAATCCGGGGTTCTGTGAATTAATCCAAACATTGTGTAATTATTGTGTAATGTTTACATTGAAAATGGCACTTGATTCAAATAAAAGGTTAATACATTTGCCATTAATTGTTGTTTGCTTGTTTACAATATCCATAATTAATTTAAACCTGATTTCCTTACAAGAAACAACAGCGATCTCAGAAACTTTGCCTGCACTGTCCAGTAAAGTTACTGAATCGATTTCAAGTCACGGAATCGAATCAAATCGTTCTAAATTAACCCAGATCGTCCATGAATCGAATCGGCAACTATGAATCGCGATTCGAATCGAATCGTTAAAATGAATCGTTACACCCCTACAACCTAAGCTAATTGCCTGCTTGCTCTGCCACAATAATCAGCTTACACAAGTGTTGTGCCAATATGAATCCCACTGCAAATCTCGGCAAGATCTCGGCTGCACGTAGCTGGTGGAGGCAGACGAGTTTGGTTAAAGTGAGTCATCGACCTTTGAGTAGTTAAGGTCAGGATAGTCAATCTCCTCCTCCAACACTATGCAAGAATAATGAACAGCACACACCCCAAAATGTCAACTCATCACCTTTGCATAACAATTAAAAATAGCATCATGGAACAAAAGTACCTAAAACCGACTGAACATCACGGTGAAAGCTGCTCTCTCGCCTCAAAGAGTCGTCGCCAGGAAGCAAAGTTGTCAACCCGGTCTTGTGATTTGAGGTGCCAACGTGACTCACGTCCTATGTGCTTCTTCAAGCCAGCCACGCACGCACACGCACGCACATGCGCACACTCACACGCGCGCACACTCACACGCAGCTCTCTAGCAGTTGCTGCCTCATTGACATCCTGCCAACAGTCTTGACATATTTCTCCAACTCTGCAGCTCTATAAAATACTTCATCCCGATGGCAAAATCAACAACCGTCTCGCTGCTAATCATCCCGTTCCAGCGGCCACAAGTCGATTCGGTGGATTTGAAAATCAATTTCACCGTCAACACCCGCGGGCCAAAAAGACAGCGGCTCCTCATTACTGCAAACGAATGGCTGAGAAGTTAAAAAAAAAAAAAAACAAGCTCAAATCAAGGCTCACTCGCGAGGAGGTCCTGGTGGGGACGGTAGAAGACTATCGTCTTAATGAGGTGGAGATTTTCGGTGATTGAGAACTTGTATGTGCCACCCACATACAAGGACACACTTTATGTATTTAGCCGTGTGCTTTGAATGTTTCGACACGCCAAGGGAGGAAAGAAGTGAATCAACTTGAAGCTATCGCCCTGCACCAAATGGTTCTTTCAGAATGTAAAAAAAACCTTTTTAGAAAAGGAATTTGACTTGTTGGGCTCACGAGGAGAATTATTCAAATGATCATCACTTCACGTTTATAGACTCACTTTTCATGCGTGATCGCTGTGTGTTGTTAACTGTTAAGATCCTGTTTCCTTCACGAACAATTAAGCAATTGGCTTCTTTATTCCTGAAAGAGGTGAACAAACCGGACGGACGAGCCATCATGGGGTCGTTTGTGGCTTTAAGCTGATCACGCACAGTGAAACACGCTAACCTGAACATGTAAATACTGGGGGGGGAAGCAGAGTTTAGCACTGAGGGTGTGATATAAAAAAAAACGGGTTTATCCTTGTATTTGGTGACTCATTCCCTCTGCGTGTTTCTGTGTCAGCGCTGCGGTTCATTCCCTCGTTTGACTGATTGCAGACGATTCTTTGTGTGCAAGAGCAGGCGTGTGCTCCCCCATCTGCCCGTGTTACGCGTTCCCGTGTGCTGTAAGAGCGCTTCTACCTTGAGGCCGCCGGCGATGACGATCGGGCTCAAAAGCCGCCGGCGGCGCACTGCAGCAGCGCTTGGTGGCGATCGGGCCGACAGAAAGGCGGCAACGAAGCGCATCTTCCGAAATCCGGCAATCTGCCGGACTGACCCGTCAGCACTCGCTGCGCCGGGACCATTATCTCCCTCTTCATCCGCCTCCGTCATCACCAACAGCCGGCTCAAGTCTGTGTATCCGTGTGACTTGTTACCAGCAGCATCTGGATCAATTCATCTCAATCAACCGAGGGGCGAAATAAGAGAGGATAGAATCAAGCTTGGCGTAATTGCTTGGTGCGGCGGTCTGGCCTTCAGAGAAGAGCCATATACCGGCCTCTTTATGACCTTGTTATCATGGGAACAAATAGACGGGTGTTATCTAGCAGCCATGAGTCCCAGCACCAGTTCTGTTGAAAGACAACAGAGACTATTCTTTAATCGACCGGGAGAATAACTTAAGTGCAAAGCTTTAACGAAAGCAAAAATGTTGCTGGTTATAATATTCAAAGGGTAAAGCAGTTTGTGACCTCGCAGCTTGCACACAACGGGCTCTCTTGAGAACACACTTGTACCGATTAATCACCATAGAAAGCTTTACAAAGCAGACTGATAATCTAAGAAGCCAATTTGTACCAATTGAGCCTGAAGAGAGTTACTGAAGGCAGAAGGCCACTTGATGGACACTTAAAGAATCATTTACTCCCTTCCCTCAACTGTGGGATTTCCGCCCATTGATCTGGTTCATTTCATCAGATTCCTGTTGTACTTATTTGACGATTACGTGCATTTGGTTCAGTTAAATAGGTTTAAATATGTGTTTTAAGGGGTATAGGGTTACGTGGGGTTTGGGGATGTGCAAAACTCACAAACAAATATCGCCGTCTGCTCCGCTCTTTAATAATTAACATGTTCTGGTATTCAAAAGGGAGAGTGGGAGTGAGCTGAGCAGGATGGGGAGTGAAAGGACGAGAGAGAGGAGGAGGAGGAGCAGCTCATCGCTCCGGAGAGGAAGTGGGGGAGGGGAGGATGGAGAGAGCGAGAGAGAGTGTGTGAAAAAAAGAGAAAGGAGGCAGACTGCCCTGTGACAGAGCACCAAGAGGCTGCTGGGCAATGTGCGTGTGTGTGTGTGTCTGTTTGTGTGTGTGAACATGCATGAACATGGAAAGAGAAAGTGTGTGTGTGTGTGTGTGTGTGTGTGCAGGGTTGTGTCTCTGTGTTCGTGAGCGAGGGGGAGGGGGGTTGGGGCCTCTATAAATAGCCAGTTTTTCCCTTTCTGCCAGAGCGCACAGGGGCCTTCTGAATGAGGCGGCAGGCCGGGGCCTCGGCGGCGGCGGCGGAGCGGAGAGCACGCCCTCATCGGCCGACTTGGCGGCGCTGACTTCCGACGACGGAAAGCCTCGCCGTGCGCCCGATGAGCGCTGCGCTGTGAACGCAGGTGTCAAAGACAAAACAAACAGGGCGGGACACGCCTCCCAACCGCAACCTGTGAAGTCACCTGCATGTAAAGCTCCATTTGGCACACGGTCGGAAATGACCAAAGCAGTGGTTCTGTATACAGTGAAGAACCAGGTTCTATTAAGAGACTTTACTATTGTGGGTCAGTCTGGTAAAGAGTCCTCAACTGTGTTTTTCATTTTAAATTGTGGAGCTTATCATATTCAGAGAAAAAGCTTTGAACTTATACGTTGTCAGAAGAGAAAAAAGGTTAACTGAATAGACTTATAATGCTTGTTGTGCTATAAAAAGGACATGGTGTACCTCTATTTAAAACTTCCAACTTCTAATAGAAAATTTTACCAAATGAGAAAAAATTTGAGAATTCTTAGAGTCAAAGTCGATCAAATCTGAGTGAAGCGATGTGGTTCCTTGACAACACAATCATTTGTGACTGTAACTACAGAAGATTTCCAACTTCAGACTATAATCATAGATAAATATTTCCTTTCAGTAATAAGCCAATACTACTATCCAAGCTATTTCCATCAAAAATAACGTTCAACAAAATGTTTACTTTTTCATCCGCCAACGTTTTACAGGTGTAAAACATAGTCATTCTCCCCCATTTCTCCTACACTTAGATCTATTTCGATTAAAATGAACCTTTTCCTGCGCTTTCCTCAAAACCTGCTTTCAGAGCTGCAGCATAGAACAAATAACCGTAACAAACCGTTCTTTCTCTCCCACTATAACAAACCAACAGCGCTGCAGACGCAGCCTCCGCAGCTCTCCAACAAGGACGAATCAATGACAACCACTCTGTGGCTCTCTGCAGGCCGGCAGAGTGTCTCCTCCATCGTGCAAAGGCTGCTGCACCACGCACGCATCACGGCTGTCATTTCACAGCCGGTCTCGACTGGTTCTGCTTTTTATTTCCTTCATTTCTGCGGCGGAGAGAGACATGCAAAGGATATGTGATGTGTGATATATGCTATAAGATAAACACATCTAACAGAGGAAAAATGGCAGAAAAGGCCATTTTTTTTTGTGGATGTTTTCTTTTTTTACTAGCAGATCTGTTTGTCTTTGAATGCTTCTCTCCGTCTTCATGCGAGTTGTTTTTGGCTGTGAGGCAGTTCGTATTCTGCAGGCGATTAACCGTCACACACAATACAGTACACGCTCACGCAAACGCACAATACATGGTTCCAAGTGGCTGCCGCTGTGACGGCAGAGGAGGCTCCATTTGGACATCGTGCAGAAGAGGGCGGCGGTCGGGGGGAGGGAGTGGGGGGGGAATTATGGGATGCAGAGAGGCGTGAGCAAAAGAGGCTCTCTAGAATGAGTCAGGCGTGTTGCGTAACAGAGAGAAGGGGGGGGGGGTGGTCGTGTCTCCCTACTGGCTCCCCCCTGCCATGACACAAATCCAGCAGGGAGGAGAGGAGGGGGAGGGGGGAGGGGGGGTGAAGCTGAAAGTAACCTATTTTAGCTTGTTACACTATTTCTTTCATGTTAGTTCTTAATTAGTTCTTAATTAAACTTGCGTCCTTCACGTTTTCCTACCTGAATGACCGTCTTTGCGTCCCGTATGTCTCTTTTTTGGCACCATTGCACCGGAAACAAACACTCACACACATTACAGAGTGAATGTCACACACCAGAGACACTAATCACCGGCATGGACGTTGTTTGTGTGGTTACGTAAGACTTCATTAGCTTGGTAGTAGCTGCCGCTACTATATTATAAGAGTATCAAAATAAACAAAAAGCTCACTGGAGTTTTTCCCAAACTGAAAACATCTGCAAATGTAAAAGAACATCTAATGTGACCTCTGGAAAAATCGGTTTGAATTGATCTGTCGGAGGGTGACGTTCGTTAGGGCTGCGTGAGGGCCGCTGTTGGCACAAGTGCTCTTTCATGATGTTCATCACCCAAGAGCGCAGACGCTCAATACGCCGCCATCAACACACATGGCAATGCTTCATGTCCAACAGAGCAGGACAATAATAACTGTTGCCAATCAATATTTCACCCACTGAAGCCAGATTGTGGAAGATGTTGTGTTGTATTTACTCATTTGATTAAATACATATGTTGTAACTCCTTCGTGTAAACTGAACAGTGTGTTTGAGGTTGGCGCCATCAGACCTCTGGCCCTCGTTCGTGGCGTCCGTGCCGGGTGGCCAGTGACAGATGGCGAGGCGGGTCGGACTCCGATTGGACATGGGCATAGGAAAACGATGCTGTGAAGTGGGCAAAGGGAACGACATGCTGCATATACGGCGAAGGAGGTAAACAGGAGGAAGGAGGAACAGGAGGAAGGCGAACAGAGTCCTTCGGCACAGAAATGCACACACATCGGACCCGCTGAGGCGGAGAACAGAGGGGCTGACGGATTCAATTGGAAATCTACGGCTGTTCAGAGTCGGCATGGCCAGCTGAGTCTTAAATAGCTGTAGTTCCTCTGCTAACTCCTCGGTTCCTCGACTGTCGAAAATGTAACCGGAGGATAAACTGCAAATGCAACTGCTAAGATTAAATGCAAAGCGGTGGCACGACGCTCAACGGGCAGAAACGCAGAAACAGAAAATATCGGGAATTCTTACCCAGCATGCCCTTGTTGGGCTCGGACAGACACATGTCCTTCTCGGCGCTGGGCAGCACGAAGCCGACCACAAAGATCTCCACGCCGTCCGCCATCAGCGCCAGCCCCAGGACGAAGTAGAGCGTCCACTGGAACTTGCCGTGGCCGCACTCCTGCAGGATGGTCTCGTACTGCTGGGCCAGCTCATCCTGGTCTTTCCTCCGCTCGGCCTCGTAGGCCGACAGATCCCTGAACTGCTGAGCCTGGGCGTCCGCCGCCCCGTCCAATCCGCCGGCCTTGCCCGAGTCGGCCCTCGGGATGCCCTGGTACTCCCCCTCGTAGATCTCGTCGTCCTCGTCGTGTCCTTCGGTGGAGTCGCTGTGACCTTCGTCGTCGTTGGCCCGGCTGTCGTTGCGGTAATACCCGGCGTCGTTGCTGCTTGGCGTGCCGCCGTAGTCTTCGTCGTCGTCCTCCTCCTCAAAACGTTTGTAGGAGCGCTTGGTGTACTCGTCGGCCACTTTGTCCGCACCGCGTCCCATCTTCTTGCCCACCTGTTTCTTGGCCACTTTGGCGATGTCCTTGGCGCCGCGGACAAAGTCTGAGCGCCCGTCCCTGTAGCGCCCGTCGTCGTCCATCTTGGATGCGGAGGTGGTGGTCAGTTGCTGCTAGGAATGGGAGCTATCAGGAGTTGCCCAAGCACATGAGTGTACACCGTGGGGGGAGGGGGAGGATTTTCTGTTTGCTGGTGAGTTCAGCACCGCGGACAGCTCCCTGCTCCACTGCACTGCTGCTGCAGGACACCAAAATCCTGGGGGACAAGCAAAGAAAAAGGCGTTGTGTTAGCGCGATTGTCACACTGGTGCATGTGACGGGGACACATCCATCGTTAGCACAATCTAGATCAGAGCCAACTCATACTGAAGGACCACTGGCATTCACATCGAGTTGACATTTGCGGGACTCATCGTCTTCCTCGGCGCCAGTGGCAGAGGAAGAAAACAGGGCATAACGGCTTCAAGGTGCTGACCTCTGACCTCCGAGTCTTGGGGCCCATTGACCTATAATGACTGAACAGCAGTTATCTCCTGGCTCTGTCTCTCCTCAGCCGGCCACAAATCATTTTGTGTGTGGCATTTACGTTGTGGCGCAGAGCCGTCATAAGATGGATCCCTGCTGTGACACCTGTGACTGTCGAGCAGGGCTGCAGGGTGCTGCAGGGTGCTGCAGGGTGCTGCAGGAGGCTGCTGTGTAGAAACACGTACATAGAAGCTCCCGCTGAGGACACCCATGAATTCAACCTGTGAACTCTGGTGGGCGCTTGACACGCGGTAAATAATATATAAACGGCACCTATACACAAACAATAAGGGTGAACTTTAGTAATTGAAAAAGAGCAGAACGGACAGTCATCTGCTCAGGGACAAACAACAAACATAGAATACATAGATGACCTGGTCAGTTCAACACAAATATGACGCAGATTAAAACTCAGAGCCAGAAAAACACAAACATTTTAAAATTCAACAAATAAACCTTGCTTTATGTGTGTGGCAGACCTGTGAGTGATGCACATGATACAGAGGGACCTTTAGCTTTGGCCCCCACGGAGGGAAGTCGTGTGCACAGCTGCTGTGTTCAATGATGCTCACTGACAAGAAAGCCAATATGGAGCGAAAAAGAAGGAAAAAACTCAAAAACTAGTATTAAGGCGAGAAAAATAGCTTTCGGATGCATCTGATAAATGCTTTTTTACTCACAATGACATATTTTGGTCAGTAAATACACAGCTGAATTCCCTGTTCTGCTGAAGCTAAGGTGGGAGATTGTTTGCAGTGTGCCTGCACCCGATAACACGTCGGCAGCACGTATGTGCTCATGGGAGCAAGCAGAGATGATGTTTACCCAGGAGGGAGTCTCTGGGGATTGACTGCAGCTGTAGCCAACACTGAAATCCTTCTGGTCTCTTTAAAGGCGCTGCTCAGCATGGCGGGGAGGGAGCCTGCAGCACGCAACAACACAACAGGCAACGAAGAACGAAGCAGCCCATTACGTTCCCTTCCCTGCAGGTCTAATGGCCGATGCTGCGCATGTAAAGAAGGTGTTACAGGACTTTTCCAGCCTAACATCCTCGAGTCATTCTCCATGTTTGTCTCTCATCGCAGCATCCTTTTTCAACCGGTAATACATGGGATCCGTTTTGAGCTCTCTTTTACTGTAACGCATGTGCTCAATCGTATTGAGTCTCGGAAGTGATCAGACTGAACCGGCAGTTTAAATATCAATGAGCCGTGAAACTACAATGGACGGTTGTTGTTAAAATACATCGGATAAACTGCAGATGAACCTCGTATCATTGTTGCTCCTGCTTGTTAAAATTTGTAATAGTTTTATTTCAGCAAGGAAAGGACAGCAGATGTCAGCAGAAAAGAGGCGGGGGGGGGTAGCAGGTAGTGGGAAGGCAGGCGGGAGGGAATCTCTAAGAGCTTCCTGTGCAGCCTCGGGGGTGTTGAACAGACTCAGGCTTCAAGTCAACACCACACGATCCGAAGGTCTGCTGGGACCAGCGACTTTCTATCACACGCTCACTGGAAGCCGGCGGAAACAGAAACCCGGGGGGGGTAAGGGGGGGTTGTTAACGGTTATTGTAGAGCTCCTTTCAATTTGCCTGTCAGGGTGTTGTCAGAATAACATAAATCGATTAAAATAAGAGAATCCTGAAATACAAGACTGCTTTTTTACCAGCAGTTTGTTTGATGATGACAGCTTTATGCAATCAGATGAAGTTTAGTTTTTACTTGCATGTTTGGTATTAACAAAGTGACCATTGTCCCCGCAAGCAGATGTGTGGAGTCCTCCGCTGGACAACGGCTGCATCAAGTGGTTGCTTTGTGTTCATGTTCAAAAGCTTGTTGCAACACAAATACTCAGATTCAGCCCCTTTCAAAGAGTCAGGAGCGTTTGGAAGGGTTATTTCAGACAGAAGCCTACACAAGGGGCGACAATATGGGCCCTGAAGGATTTTATCCAGTATGACAAGCTGATCAGCACTGGAAACAGGTGGAAGAGGTAAAGATGGAAGCTGAAGACAACAGATCAAAATGCCAAAGTGAACAATCACCTGGAAATCAAGAGAATTCTTCTTTATCCACTGAAACAGTCTTGAGCAATAACGCAAACCATGACTGGCTAAAAATCCACAAAACAAGGCTGCATATCAAGAACATCTGAAGTGATTAAGTGAAACTTAACTTAACCATTGCTCCATTTTACAAAGTACTTCTGAAAGAGAATGCCGCATTGTACATATATGAAAGGCTGTGTAAGCCATGCTGGGTGTGTTTGCTTCAGTCCTCTCAGATCCAACCTGCAGCAGAAAACTGGATTTCAGGGCTCAAAAACAAACTGCAGTTTGATAAACTCAAACTACTTGAAACACACGGCTTCCTTCTGAGGTTTATGGGCTACGCTATGTGACAACGCCCTCTGGCCTACTGACTTTGATTCAGTAAACCTGCAGTGAAGACAGAATCTATGGAATAGGAGACCTGTGTTGGGCCATGAGCTTGTTAAGGAAGGAAATATGAAGAGCGTTTGTTTGAATGCTCGTCATTGTGCAGGTTTATCAGAGAGCTGAATGCACATTCAAAATGTTGAAAATAATCAATCAGTTGACATTTACCCAGCCTGCACTGCTCCCATAAAGGACAAATAGTGTTAAGTGACAGAGGAGGGTTTTACAGCCCTGTGAATGGAGAACAGGTGGAGGGTTCGTATCTTGTGTGCTGTCGCGATCCTGTGAATTTCCCAGTTGGGGGACTAATAAAGGAATATCTTATGTAATAAATCCAATTGCTTTGCTGCAAGAAAGTGCAACTGCTTAATTTCAAAATTTGGCTATTTACATACACAGAATTATTAATGAAAGAAATAGCTTTTATCAATAATCCTTCTTCACTTCCCAGATTAATATCTGGAGAGAGAGTTCAGTCTTAACATGAATTTATCCAGCGGCAAAAGTCCATCCACAGATCCCTAAAAGCCGGCTTATTTTTGTTCATATTTTACGCGCTGCATGTCAAAACTACATCAAGTTCTCCACCGCACATCCCGAGGCTCCATGCAACTCGCTCAGCAGGTGTGAAGTAGTTCAGGAGAGAATAAATATCATATGATCCAAATCTAAAATGTCATGGACATGTTTCAGGAATTGCAAACCTTAAAATTGAAGTATTTAAAAATAAATACATTGTGAATCATATAAACCTAATGCCACGATCTCATCGCGCTATCGGGGATAATTCTACTCATCGTTTCTGATGCTATCGACCCCCTGCTACCTCCATGAGAGTGTGCTACAAAACATCTGAAATGGCCTGCACCCCTCTGTGCACCGTCAATCCATTTTCTACTTGCGGGGAGTCAGCTGATTGGTTGGTCATCCTTCGTCACTATGGCCACGACCTTTGTTGAAGGAGACTCTCGAGTGCAATGTGGCAGCCCATCACCATCCGATTAGCCTTTCACCAGCCGGAGAGGCCGAGTGGAGAGTGGGTGCTGGTGGTGTCTCTGCCCATGAATAACAGATTTCTAGAGTGCACATGCAGGGTGATTGTGGCTGCGGAAATATCACTGCGTTCTCGACAAACAATATATATTCGTATGCCTAACATCTGAAGAGATGAATAGAAAGATAGAGAGCAAAAAAAGCCCTCTGTCCAACTGGTCTGGTATCTGTATTAAAGTGTAAATTGGTAATAAATTAAATACATTTTGGGGTGGGGGGGGGGATTGCTGTTGTTAGCCAATGCGGAAAGACTTAATTATGTAATCCCATTTTCTTTCTAGTGGGCGGAGAAGAGACCGGAGGGACGGGAAGCCACACACACACACACACACACACACATTAATACCCGTGCAACAATGTGGCCGGCTGCAGGTATGCTAACAAAAGGTGACGGAGCATTGATCAGGACATCTTGGAGCTGCAGCAGTCGGCGCTGCACCGGATGATCACGCGGTTCTACCGGCCGTCGAGGGAATAAGGGCGTCGGCGCCTTGAGGTCAACAGCACTTGTAGCTTCACTAATCAATACTTTTCACAAAAAGGATCAAATGAGTGCGTCCAAAGGGAGAGGGGTCACTCACTCAGGTGACGAAGAAACCTCCTCCCCCTCAGCTCTCCGGAGCTCCATCGTGTCCTTGTTCATTCAGTGGAGTTCTGTATTGCATTGGGAATATTACATTTCATTTGTGAACGGATCGCTCAACTACTTACCCGTCAATGGGGCGCTGGAGATGTGCAGCCGCTACTGGAGGAGTTCTAACCACATTAGTCTGACTCTAACAAGGCGGTTCTTTCAACACCAGCACATTGCCTCCATTCATACGTCGCTGAGCATTTAACAATTACTCTTCACTGCACTGTTAAAAGTCGAACTCGAGGAGCATCCGATAAGCTGCCGAAAATGGATTTCTCCTTTTACATCAGGCCTTGGCACTCGATGACACGAGCAGGACATTTCATTTAGTGGAAATACAAGACTCATTTGGCAGCAGACAGCTTTTGGCAGGGAAAAGGACGAGCGTTTACGGGCTCAGAGAAGATGGATGAGGAGGAAGGAACCGGGGAGCAGATCATATAGAGACGCCGCCACCCGTAAACCACACGCCTCTAAAGCCTCCTCTGGAGAAAAACTGCTCTGGTGAGATGCTATCGCAGTCCCAGCGTGAGGTTTCTGCTTTCTGTCTCCTGCCTTGTGCCAGAATAATACCTAAAGCCAGGTGGCTTATTTCTACCCCTACATTTGA